ATGTACACATTGATTTTAAGGAAGGTTGCTATTCAAGAATGCTGTTCAAGAAATCCACTTTACTGTCCTGACTTGGCCCCAAACAATTATTACTTTTCTTCAAAGAATTACATTTACGGGGGAATAAAATTCAAGACCGATAGAGATGTCTATGATTTTTTAGATCATTTTTGAAAGAAAAAATTCGGAATGTTTTTATAAAATTAGAATAAAATAAATTAATAAATGCGTCAAAATGTAAGTATATTATATGGGAAAATACAAAAGAAATTTTCGCACAATTGAAATTTATATTACATTTAATACTTTTTCCAAATGGTCTACTCAAATTTTTGTATTAATTCAACACGAAAATGAATACATTAGATAGTAACACAAATATTATGTAAAAAAAAATTAATGCAGAAAATGTAATTTTGTTACAATTTGTAAGCAAAATGAAAAAGCATATTAACGTTTATATGTTAAATTAACACGTATTTTATTTATTTTTTATCTTAAAATTTGTAAAACGTTCTAAAACATATATTATTTTTATAGTATTTGTTTAATTATTCATAAAGTGTGTTATTTTGACATTAAGAAATGATATAGTTAAATCTAATGAATGATTTTGTATCATACAAATAAATATATCTTTATATTCAATAAATATTTAATTGAGATCATTCAAACAAAGGATTCAATATAAAGGATTTAATTTAGTATATTTTGTCAGTACATAGATGCAAAATATTTTTATTGTGTAGTAAATTAGATTGGAAACTTTAATTAAAAGTTTTAGACCGTACTATATGTGTGACAAGGACAAATAAAAAGACATTAATATTGTCAGCGAAAAACGACAAACAATCTATTCCGTTGCGACATGTCGGATTCAATCAGCGTTTTCTGCAATAAATAAAAAAAATTGCAAAGTTATCTACGTTCGTGCGTGCATGCAAATTTCTTTTTCTTTCTTTTGGACACCACTGTGCGTTGGCAACGCTTCGAATGTATGAATTCCGCGCTCGCTCTGGCTGTTATGCTCGTTATGATGTTACTTTGGCTCGCACTGGGTGATCGGATCAATCTCACAGCATGGGCGTCGGCATTCATAACGTTAAGGAAAAGTGTCGCCTCTCGTTAATTTTCCTCAAATGTTTGCCGATAACGTTGTATTTGATTTTCAAAGTACCATATTCATTTACGTATGCATTTAATAAAGTTATTAAATAGAAACAGCAAATAGTTTGTAATATGTATAAATAGGTATAAAACGTGATGTTTTTCACGCTAAGCCGCCACTGATGTTATATTTAATCTCTTCTCTTCGCCAAGGGTGAAAACCCTTCTTATTCTCTTTCTACTCGCATGAGCGACTCGATTCGCATCTCATGCAAGAATGGTTCAAGTAAACGACATTTTATTTCGTACTCGAACGATGGTTCCGAAATCTTTGCTCTTTTATTAAAATGTTTTCAGAATTTTTTATTAACTTTTTAGTACTGCATTTTCTTATTGACAATTATTTTTACTAACATGAGAAAAACGGTATTAAAAAATTCTGAAAAAATTCTCAGAAATTATTTATGAAAAGAAAATAAACAATTTTTGTCTCTTGCTGTTTTTCTGTAAGTTGATGGTATTTGAAAAATTATTGAAACTAATATTCAGTAAGTTTTAGTAATTAATATCTTGTTAACTTGTTGCAAAATGACAGAGGACTTTTTGACTCAATTTAGTCCGCTCTATTTACACAAAAGCGCTTGACCAATAATTGAGGAACACTCTGTAGATATTCTTACTTTTAATTATAATTTAAAATACGAAGATAAGAAAAAACGTAGAATCTAAATTTATATAGGTACTGCTTTATAATTATCTGAACAGTGCTGAACGAAATTTTACTCGGAGAATTATTCAGAATTTTTTAAAGAAAAGTCTGCAGTAAAGCTTTGAGATTTCAAAAAGATTGTAAAGAAGATAGACAATTTTCGATTTGTTTTTTTAAACTGACTTTCTCGAGACTTTTTAAAGCGAAAGAACTCATTTTAGTAAGACACGAGCATGTTACATGATGTAATACAATTTGCCCCAAGACCTTAAGACCTTCAACATAAAGGGTCGGCTAATCGTGTTAGACGATATCTCGGACTATTAAAAGCATTACACTGCTTTCCGCAGCCATTTGTAGTCAGTTAACTCGCAATTAAGTGCAAACTCGGCATCGCTCTGCATTCGTGGATTAATAAATCACACTCGCCATTTCTCTAAAGAATAAATCGACGTGATTTGTTTATGTCGAGTACAACGATGCGATTTTGCACAGCAGTTAGTTTCGTAGTCGCCTTGTTAATATGACATAAAAAAATCTCCGCAGGACTTGCTGCTGAATATTAATGTTGATTTTTTTTTTAATTAAAAGCGAAATTGTACGAATCAAGATTTAAAGATAAAAAAGCAAATTACGACATTCCTAATCCTATCTTTCCCAATTAAGATTTAAGGATTAGAAGGAATTAATTATTATACATTCCTAATCTTCTCTTTCATCTTCTGGTTCAGAGAGAAATCCATCATCTTTCGAAAAAAATTAAACATGCAAAGCTACAATTTATATTCCTCCAGAGGCACTCTAATTATCATATTGAGGTACATTACACCGAAACAGATTTGCAATAAAGCGAAAGGGATAGTCGCGTGAACAGTATAAATGAACGCGGATTAAGTCTCGCGTGCAAAGGTGCTTCACTGTCAAGATAACAAGCATTAGTTGGTTTAATTATAACGCCGCTAAATGAAGTTCTCCGCCTTAACGAGCTTTCGTTCCGTTGCACTTGTATAGTTTCATATTACTGCTACGTATTATGAAAGCTCGACACATGCTATACATAACTGCTATCTTAGCTAATTTTTCTCATGTGTGAAATTCTCGAAGGAATCATTTCTTCGAAGGAAAGTTTTTACAATGCTCAAGAAATTTATTTAAGAGTTCTTCTCTGAAATATTAAGCTTTTTCTTTTCTCTGGAGACTTGTCTCTTATAAGATCTATTTTTTTATTGGATGGTATTATACATTTCTTAGATATATTGTATCTAACGTTTTCAATTTATTAAAAATATTAAAATTAAAATGTAAGTTATAATTATATATACATTAATAATATATATTAATATTATATATTAACATAACAGTGAGTTTAAAATTTATTAAAAATACGAGGTTTCTTTTTTGCTTTAAATAATATATTTACAGTAATTACTAATATAAACTTTTAATAAATAAAATTAATTATTTTACTGTTTCGTAAATAATACGGTCGAGCATTGTCAATTTTTCTATTATACTGTTGTAATTAATAATTAATAGTGTTACCAAGTTTGCGTGTTCGAATCTTATTGTATGTTACTAGAAGTTTATGAATGGAATTTATATCAAGATTGTTTATATAAAGAAACGCGACATATCGATATGTGCCTATATATAGATATGTGACATATAGTTTGACATTTTCATGTTGTGCTACACGTATTATCCGTGCACAAAATAATCCAGCAAAAATGTATTCTTTACAATTCCCCTAACAGATGTCTGTTATAGAAAATAATAAATAATTACAAGAAAATAATTGATTTTTTATCCGCTATTTTTGTTATACTTATATCATTCGAAAAAAGTGAAAAAGTATTAATAATGAATTATATAAATTAATAATATCGAATTAATACACTAAAAAATAAAATGTTAATTTCAACTTATAGTCGTATAGTGGACTTTCTGAGACATGCAAAAATATTAAAATTAAAGTTAATTTTAACATTTTTGCTCAGAAAGTTTACTATACGTTTTTAAGTTAAAATTAACATTTTATTTTTTACAGTGTAATATGAATTATACAAATTAATAATATGGAAGAGATGAAACTGATTTATTGAGTAATTCTTCTCTGCATTTTAAATAATTGATGTTATAACAATAATAATTATAAAGATCTCACATTAACTTTTTACTTCGAAAATTTTGATCTATCCAACTGAAAGTATTTTGCATACCAAATAATATTCTATAGTTTCTGTTCTCAATGAAAATTGATGACTATCCCGCCGAGACTATACTGGCTACAATATATAGAAAATAGAATACGCTTCCAAGAAGTCTTCAATTATGCTTTCTGACGCTAATGTGCGCCTGCAAGTTGTACAGTTATCCGATACTTAATTATCTAAAGTAATAAATCGATTTCCGCGAGGTTGTCCTGTCGTTCGTACAATTCGAAATAGTACGAGACAGTTCGCGTTTAATTGTCTGACAACTTTTAACGTCTCCAATGAATTACGTAATTATACATAACGAGAATTAAATCTAATAAGTTTAATTTCTTAAAAAATTTGATGTGCAAAAAATAGATACAGGCAGCTATTATTTATAAAAAGATCTGTGCAATAATACTTATTCAGATCAATATTTTTATCAATTAATTTTTTTAAATTTATATATATTTTTTTTATTAAAAAAAAAAAGGTATGAAAAGTTAAAATATGTTTTTTTTACTCTTATTTGTCATGGTGAATTTTACTTTTTGTTTAAATTTTGAGAGTTTAATTAAATCCTTTTGGTTAGAAATGTGTACTTTTTCTATAAAGTACACATTTTCTAGATATTTTCTATAAAAATTATGTTATTTACAAATTTGTTTATTTATGTGGAAAATGTAATAAATCTGCTTTAAAATGATTGATCGCCGAATTCTTAAATCGTTTAACCAAAGTTAGAGCGTTCTAAAAATATCGTGACTTCGGAATATGTGTAAATTTAAAAATTCCACGTCTCTCTCAAAAAATATTATGAGATTATAAAACTTGACAAAATAAGTATAAAAAGTGTTCTAAAGAACAAAAAATATATATTTTTTTGTTCAACGTAGAATCGCACCTGTATATATATTTTCTTGTAAACTTATTATTTTCAGATGTTATTTTCACAGCAATTGTTTGGAATTATTCTGTAATTGTTTCAGAAAAGTTATCAACCTGGAAATTATCGAAGAGGACTCCTATGAGAAGGATGCTCTTTTCTATGTCGAATTGGGCGAGCCGGTGCTGCAAGGAGGTGATTAAATCTTTTATCAATTTGATTACATTTTTTAATATTGAATTTCCCAACATACTTTGAAGTTATTACGATAATACTTCCTTTTCCCATTTTTTAAATATAGGACCAAGCATTTAAATCGATATACGAAACAAAAAAGTTCTCGAGAAGTTAAAAATT